AAGGCCTCTCCTTGCCTTTTACTGATATTTGGCTCACATTCAGCTGAACAAACAATCCCTGAAAAATTACTTCTTCTGGGTCACATGTACCCTAGGGTAGCTACTCAAAAAAAAAAAAAGGAAATCAAGCATGAGCTACAGACAATTAAAGCTAAAATAACTAAACAGAAATAAAACTGCACCTTATTCAGTGCTGATTCTGGTTTGCAAGTGTGTTAGCCCTGAGTCTCCTCTTACTTCCTAATCTACTTCATGAAAAAAGCAATTCCAACTTGCTTCTACCCAGGACAGAAGATACAATTTTGAAGATGTTAACACCAAGCACATGACAGAAGCTCAGAATCTCCAATCAGGCTTACATTTATGGTCAGATTTACTAAGTGCTTCTGAAGAGGACCCTTCGCACTGTCAGGAAGATGCCTGTGCAAATTCCCTAGCTGGAGGTTGATTAAAAAACAGTAACCCTCAGGAAAAGGACAGAGTAACAGCACAAGCAACAAAAAAACAGTGTGGTACCCTCAGATTTGAATAGCATCAAAAAATAAAAGTATGGACTCTGGTCTAACCATTAGCTATAAGAATGTGGTATCGCTACTCTGACACCAGGCAAGGTGAGCAGTGCCAAGGAACGAACTTTCCATAGAACTGACGTTGCTGTTCACCCCCCTACTCTGTACTGATTCAAACTGATAGGGAACAGAAGGCAGTAGCAAAAATACTGTCAGTCATCCCAGTTTTGTATCAAATAGGTCCACTAAAATCATTATTTTGATTAGATTGTTAATGTCGTTTCTGAAGATAACAGTTTGGAATATTCAGGCTTCTCTTAGACATTCAAGTTCATCCTGCATGAGATTCTGTTAAGTGTATTAATAGGACTGAGCATTAACGTAACATTTGTAAGTTTTTGTGTGGAAATGAGATACTTCCAGGGAGCTCTGGAAATATCTCACAGAGCTCTGTCCTCTGACTAATATTAGTCAAGTTCTTTATCTGCAGCTAAAGGGGAAAAATATTCCTTCTTTCTGCAAACAAAAAAACCCCAAACAAAACCAAAAAAGGATTATGAAGAAAGGTTGTACTGAGGCAGAAAACAGGCTCAGCTTCATGTACTAGAAAAAGACCAGGCTATGAACTGCCCGTTTTCCTGGGGGTCAGGGAAAACACTCCCTGGTTGTTAGTTTGTGCCATGAAAACATTTCCCAGGAAAAGGTTGGGAAACGAGAAATCACATTATGAATACCTAGAAAAGCAAGAGAGAACAAAAAGAAGAAAATCATTATGCCACTGCCTACATCATGCTCAGCCTAGACCTTAATCCTAGGTGAAGTCTGGTACCTCCAGACAGAGATGAACTGAAAGAGGTTCAGAGAAACCCATCAAGAAAGGTCAGAGGTAGAACAGCTTCCACAAAGGACCATCTGTGTAAGTTGGGACTCTTCAGCCTGGGAAAGACGTGGCCTGTAGGATGGCACAGGAAAGGTCTATGACATCCTGAGAGACAGGGAGAGAGCAGGCAGCGACTGCTGCCTCTTTTCCAGCAGAGGAACAAAGGCCATCAGATACAGTGAGTGGGATCAAGCAAGTGAGGGGGGGAGCCGGACTCTTTTCAGTGGTTTCCAGCGATAGGACAAGGGGCAGCGGGCTCAAGCTGGAACATGGGAAGTTCCATTCAAATATGAGGAAAATCTTCTTTATGGTGAGGGTGATGGAGCACTGGAACGGGCTGCCCAGGGAGGTCGTGGAGTCCCCTTCTCTGGAGATCTTCAAGACCCGCCTGGACGCAGTCCTGAGTGATGTGCTCTATGTGCTCCTGCTTTAGCAGGAGAGTTGGACTAGATGATCTCTAGAGGTCCCTTCCAACTCTGACAATTCCGTGATCCCGTGTTTTTTCTTAGAGCAGAGCAGACCTGCTGAACACCTTGCAGTAGGGTGTTGTAAACGCAAAACGTTTACATGGGTGCATGGTGAGATGGGAAAAAGTACCTGAAAGAGAGCGACTGAGGAATCTCAACAGATTGTAACAGACTCAGGAGATCCCAAGACGTGAGAACAGCTGCATCTAGAGGAAAGTGTTAAGGGTCTTTTTTCCTCATTATTTAATGTGACAGAATTGCCAGCAAATGGAAAGTTTGTCTGCTCGTCATCCTACTCCTTTTCACTGCGCACAAAACACCAACATTCCTAACTCTGCCTCCAAAACGTTTGCAGTAATGACATGGTCCTTTCTGGTTTTCACCTGTGCTTTCCTACTGAATTGTAAATTCAGTTGTGAAAGACTCCTGGGGCATGTGCTATCCAGAGAACTATCCAGGCCTCACCCTCTCCTCTGTGTAGACAAAGTACTCGCTCTCAGGACAGCCCGCATCACGCCGGTCACAGAGAATAGAGGCAACGCAGAGATACTTCTAGATAGCTTAGATAACTGGTGTTTACAGCTTGTGTATAAGGAAAGCTGCTGTTGTTATGCTAGTTTAAGCACACAAAGCAAGTTCTGCAGCAAGAAGTGAAACATTTGATTATTAACAACAGTTAATATGTGGGGGGGAAAAAGACTTTTGTTTTTTCACAAGAGCACTTCTTTGTCTGTAGTAACTGCGCTCAAAAGCTTGTTTTTCTCCAAATACACCAGCTGCTCTCACAAAGCACATTCACATTCTCCTCCGAGCTTTACCTCAGTGGTATAGGTTAAATTGGAAGGGAAAATTCAGGCTGAAATTCGCGCTTTGTGAAACCTTTACTACATATTTCACGCTTCAAAAACTTGATCAAGGGAACTGTAAACATTCAATTAAACCACAAATATTTTTAACCAAGTTCCTGTTAAAAATACAAGGGAGGGTCTGAAGGAGCAAAGTCCTTCCCACTGTAAGAGAAGATCAGGTTGGAGACCACCTGAGGAACCTGAACATACCTAAGTCTGTGCAACCTGAGAAGATACATCCCAGAGCTCCAAGGGAACTGACTGATGCAGTCGCCTCACGTCTGCGCCTGGACAGATCACGTAACAGATGCTGCTAGAAGCTATGGTAAGGCACATGGAGGACAGGGAGGGGATTCAAGACAGTCAGCACAGCTTCACCAAATCTTCAGGCAAATCTTGCCTGGCCACACTGACGGAGTGACTACATCAGTGGACAAGGTAAGAGCCACTGATGCCATTTATCTGGACTTCTGTAAGGCCTTTGATGTGGTCCCCCACAACATCCTTCTCTCTAAATTGGAGAGATATGGATTTGATGGGTGAACTGTTTGGCGGATGAGGAATCGGCTGGATGGCCAAATCCAGAAGGTAGTGGTCAATGGCTCAATGACCAGATGGAGATCAATGACGAGTGGTGTCCCTCAGGGGGACAGTTTAATATCTTCATCAATGACATCGACAGTGGGATCAAGCGCACCTTCAGCAAGTTTGTGGATGACACCAAGCTCAGTGGTGCAGTCGACATGCCTGAGGGATGGGATGCCATCCAGAGGGACCTGGAGAAGAAGCGGGCCCATGTAAACCCCATGAGGTTCAACAAGGCCAAGTGCAAGGTCCTGCATCTTGGTGAGGCAATTCCAAGCACACATCCAGGCTGGGCAGAGAATGGCTTGAGAGAGTCCTGAGGAGAAGGACTTGTGGGTGTTGGTGAATGAAAAGCTCAACGTGAGCCGGCAACACGTGCTCATAGATCAGAAGGCAAACTCTATCTTGGACTGCATCCCCAGCAGCGTGGCCAGCAGGGCAAAGAGGGGATTCTGCCCCACTCTGGGGAGACCCCGCTGCAGTGCTGCCTCCAGCTCTGGGGCCACCAACAGCAGAAGGACATGGACCTGTTGGAGTGGGGCCAGAGGAGGCCACAGAGATGCTGCAAGGGCTGAAGCCCCTCTGCTGGGAGGACAGGCTGAGAGAGTTGGGGGGGTTCAGCCTGGAGAAGAGAAGGCTCCGGGGAGACCTTGGAACAGTCCTTCAGTATTTCAAGGGGGCCTGTGAGACAGATAGGGACAGATATTTGACTAGGGTCTGTAGTGACTGAAGAAGAGGTAATGGTTTTAAACTCAAAGAGGGTAGATTCAGACTAGATAGAAAGAACTTTTTTACCATGAGAGTGGTGAAACACTGGCCCAGGTTGCCCAGAGAGGTGGTGGCTCTCCCATCCCTGGAAACATTCCAGACCAGATTGGACAGGGCTCTGAGCAACCTGCTCTAGTTGGAGGTGTCCCTGCTTATGCCAGGGGGGTTGGACCAGATGGCCTTTAAAGGTCCCTTACCACCCAAACCATTCTATGAACTACCACTATCATTCCGGCTGCTCTGTGTGTATACATATATCTATACACACTTACGTAAGCCTTTAACAACTTCAATTTTACTCTAAAGTTCTGAATTGCTTTAAAAGTCTCCTGAGGTATTCTCCAAAATATCCCTTCCAGAGATAATGATATTCAGGTCCTGAACTGAACACCTTACTTGAGGCTGTTTTACAGCAGAGCAGCAAGGTTTTGTGCAAGGTTTTGCTTGAGTGTCACCTCCGGCCGTTTGGCCCATTTCTGGGCCCGGACCTGAAAAATGGCAAAAGGTGGTTTTCACACTACAACGGCCAGGAAAGCCTGCAGCCCCAAAGTCTGGCTGGCATTGCAAGCAGTTCCCAGAGAAGCTCCATCAAATTGACAGTTCTTCTTGCGCACACTTTCACCTTGAGGGTCAAATCCAAATGTTTGGCCCATTTCTGAGCCCGGACCTGAAAAATGGCAAAAGGAGGTTTCAAAAGCAAAATGGGGGAGAATGTTTCTGGGCCGTCTCTCAAAGTTCTTCCACCCCCATGCGTCAGCCCCTCCAGAAACCACTTTTCTATTTGTTCATGATGGTTCTAAACCTCTGTAACAAAACTTCTCCATGTCCTCCCCATTGTAGTGCTGCTGTTATCATGGATAGCAATGCAAAGATTTTCGAAGAAAATTATCAGATACACTTGGAAGCTAAAGGTCCCGATAAGAAGGAAAAGAAAATACTTTACCATGGACATGAGACTGTTGGAAACTTTTTCCTGGTGCAAAGTGGAAATTTCCAGCTACCTGCAGGAGACAGTATTTTTTCATTTCAAGGTCTGAATCTATATAAATAAAGCAGTTGTATTGGTGTTGGATCTTTACATTTTTCTTTAAACAAGATATATACCCAGCAACTCATTTTCATAGGTGACAGTATCAGCAGACACTGTCCTAACAGAAAAATGCATTTCCTCTCTTCCTCACAGGCAGTCATGTGGGAAGCCATAATTACATACTGATGTTGATAATAACTGTTCTATGCAGATTATTTTAGCAGACATAAAATTGTGAAGAAGGAATTAAGCTATTGGGAGGGAATTGACTGCTGCTGCAGAAATACAAAAGGGTATCACAGAAAATGAGTGGATAAAGTAACTGAGAGGGAGAGTGAGAAGGGTAAAAAAACCTTAATACAATAAACAACAGTGATCTTATGTATGCACCCATGAAAATAAGCTGCATGCAAAAATAAAGGACTATACCTACAAAAAAAACGACAACCCCAAGCCCTCCAAAACCCCCAAAAGACAAAAGGTTGTTAAAATTTCATCCTGGAATCTGAAAGGCATCTGGACATTAGGTGGCACTGACACTTACTAGCAATCATACACACTAATTACAATTAGCTAATTACAACTTTGATGTCAGTGCAAACCTACTGCTTATGTTAACTGAAGATGTGACTAGAAAAGAGATGTGCTAAATTGCAAGTGTGTAACAATGGCCTCCAGAAATTTCCCCAGTGACACCCACCACTGGACCCTTGCTACCTCCAGCATTCCCCTTTGAATTTTTCTCACTCATCACACTTTGTGATCGAGGGTCCTGTAATGATTCCGTAGCTGTGATGATGCTCAAACCCTCAAAACACAATGACTGGCTTTGTGAGTAAAAGATTTACTTTCCAGAAATATAGAATGTGGTCTCCAGGAAGAGTACACAAAGGTGTAAAAAAAAATACAGTTTGAGTTAAAGAAAAAAAAAAATTAGCCTGGGTCTGACATCTAGAAAGTACTTGGGTAGATAACCTGCATGTCCAAGTATTCTGGGTTTGGTAACTTGCCAAACAACAGGGTAATTACATAGTTTTCTGGTATATCTCATGCTACATTTTCATACACCAGTTGCAAAAACCACCTCTCTAATTTTCAGCTTTGACTACCAACTCCAATAGTCTTGCTTCCACTGTTTTTCTAAGTAAGATAACATGTCATTCTCTCCAGCACCTCTGCTGGCAAGTTGTTGGTTACTGCTATCTCCAGCATCCTCTGGTGGTCTCTGCTTTAAGACTAGAAGGGCAGGTGGGACAAGCTCATGTCAAAGCAGCTGCCTCTCCTTCTCCAGAAACCTCGGCACAAAGACTCCCTATCAGCGGGTAGGAAAAGCTAACCATGATGCAGCAGGTTCATAGCAAAATCCATCTCTCACCTTGTTGACCTCTAGGAAACCATACACTTGGCAGCCCTCATTCTTCTGTTCTTGCATTTTCTGGCTAAACCCTTCCCTTTTGCACTGCTCTATGGTATCTGGATTCTTGAAGGCCCAGCCTCGCCGCCTGTATGCTTCTCTGACATCGTCGCAAGTATTACAACACCTGCAAAAGCACAAGCACCATCTTACCATCTTCATCGCTAGGAAGAGATGCCCCAGCTCAGGACTCGAATCCTTGGTGGATTTTTCTTCAATAAAGCAAGAGAGCAAACATCAGGGACTGGACCCTGAAAGCTGGCCTAATGCTTCTGAAGGAGCTCGAGCTTCTCCATGTACTTTTTCAGGTTTTGGCATAAGAATACAAGCTGTTTGAATGCAGTGCTCGAGCCCGAGTAGGTCTTTGCCTGTCCATTTAAGCAGCCAAGACACCCCTTGGCAAAAACAGTTTGCTAGAAAAATGACATCAGTGTCCCACAGTTCTGAGGAGTTTGGAACTTCCCTGGGTGAACAAAGCATCTGCCTCTTTCTATTCCTGCTTTTCTCTCTTTTAGGCCAAGACTGTCTAAATGGGAAGGAGGGTTAATGGCAAACCTTCTTCATTACTTTTCTACCTCTGGAAGATCTTGGTCACTGGAAAAAATGTTTTTCTTTCTTGGTTCCATGTTTAGTTGGACCAAAGAAAAACTTCCCTCAAGATGGAAACATCTGGACAGACTGGATCAATGGGCCAAGGCCAATGGGATGAGGTTTAATAAGGCCAAGTGCCAGGTCCTGCATTTCAGTCACAACAGCCCCAGGCAACGCTACAGGCTTGGGGCAGAGTGGCCCGAAAGCTGCCCAGCAGAAAAAGACCTAGGAGTGTTGGTGGACAGCTGGCTTACCATGAGCCAGCAGTGTGCCCAGGTGGCCAAGAAGGCCAATGGCATCCTGGCCTGTATCAGGAATAGCATGGCCAGCAGGAGGAGGGCAGTGATGGTGCCTCTCTACTGGGCACTGGTGAGGCCTCACCTCGAGTGCTGTGTTCAGCTTTGGGCCCCTCACTACAGGAAGGACATTGAAGTGCTGGAGCGTGTCCAGAGGAGAGCCACCAAGCTGGTGAGGGGTCTGGAGAACAAGTCCTATGAGGAGAGGCTGAGGGAACTGGGCATGCTCAGTTTGGAGAAGAGGGGGCTGAGGGGAGACCTCATTGCCCTCTACAACTCCCTGAAAGGAGGCTGTAGAGAGGTGGGGCTTGGCCTCTTCTCCCAAGGGAATAATGACAGGAGCAGAGGAAATGGTCTGAAGTTGCGGCAGGGGAGGTTTAGATTAGATATTAGGAAGGATTACTTTCCTGAGAGGGTGGTCAGGCACTGGAACAGCCTGCCCAGGGAGGTGGTGGGGTCACCATCCCTGGAGGGACTAAGAAACGTGTAGACATGGCTCTTCAGGGCATGCTCTAGTGCAGGAAGGACCCAACTTGATAGATGGGACAATCAATATCAGAGAGGGTAATAGCAAAGAACAGTCCAGAACCTATGGATCTATTCTTAGAGGAATTTGCAGGTAGGAAGAAATGAGAAACACCAAATTAGAACTGTTGTTTGTGCAAGTGCTAAAAGTCTGGTCTTTCCTTCTGTAAGGATGCAAAGCCTGGAGAAGTGAGAAAGCAAAGCCATAACCAGGTTTTCTTCCAAGACAGCTTGCATAATGGTGAAATAATTTACACAGCTCCCCTTTGGACACCAAATAACCCCAGAAAACATTCCATTTGCTGAGATACAACCTTTATGCTACTGCAAAGGTAGAGCAATTTGCACTGCCCTTAAACAGACATGTATACACCCTCACTCTTCACATTCTGAACACCCACAGGTGTACCAAAACCATACCAGTTCTCAGCATTCTCTGAACACATGCCCAGGAGGATTTCATTGCACAGACCTTCACAGGCATTTGGAAGAAAAAAAAAAAAGTGCATGCAACGTAACTGTATAATTGGAGTGCTAAGATACAAAAAGGTGTAAAGGTTACCGAATGTCCTCTGACTCTGCCCCGTAACAGCTCTCGCAGCGATCGGCATCCAAAGAATTTGGATCAAACACTTTTTCTTCTTCCTTTCCCAGCTCTAAGACAAAAGAGGATTCAAAGTGATGAGGCGTGTCTAGAAATGCTATCTTGTACTCTTGGTTTGTTCTACACACGAACACAATGATTTTGTCAGAAGCTGCACATCCTGCACCCAAATCCCACCCGAAATGTTATGCATAGAGCCTGGGGAGGTGTGAAGTAAGACCAAGAAGCAGAATATATTTATCAGGTGCACATTAACACTCACAAAGCACGTGTACTAAGGTGCAAGTTTAGGCTCAAGGGTTGAGCCACTGGAGCCTTCCCTGGAGAGAGGCTCTTTTCTCTAACCAGGCTGTCACATTTGTCAGGCCACTGTGATTTAAAGATACAAACAAAGCCAAGTGTTGCCAGACCAGCCGCTTGATTTCTAGTCGTAAAAGACCATTAACTCAGCAGCTTTATTCCTGAAATACACCTGTGAGTCCCTGTCATAATTTCAGAGGGACTAGACAAAGATTTGCCTCACAAAAATAGAAAGCATAACAGAAGTTTGTCTGATCTGCCAGATTCATGATTTGGGTGCTAGAAACTCAAGAGTTGATGGCATTTAAATGCTCTTCAGCTGTCACTTGCTCCTGTGAATCTCAAGATGGGCATGCAGTGATGGAAAGGCTATGAAAGCACCCATCCAAGAAAGGCAGAAGAGCATCTTACCGTGCCTCTCGGCCTCGGGAGTCACACGATTGCCAGCTTTATCCAAACGCTGCTTAAACAGATTGTGCTCTACATCCAGCTGCTGCTCTCCTGCTACATCCATGGCATCAATGCTCAAATCTGAAACCAGCAAGCAAGGAAAGTGGTCTGTCAACACACATTTGTGTGGCAGGCTGGAAGGCTGTGTGCCACACACTGTGGCAGGCTGGAAGCATTCAACCCACGAAAACACAGAATCTTTCAGCCAGGGTGACAACAACGTGCCAAACTAGAAGAATGTGCACGGTTGGGCCCAAGTGATGTACAGGGAATAAACCACACATTGCAGCAGCCTAAATGACCTCTCCAAATAGGGGTTGGGTTTGGTGTACAAGGAGCACTGTTTCCAGCTACCAGAGAAAGTAGTATCCTGAAAGGTAAGTACACTTTAGGCAAAACCCCAAAACCCTCAAAGCCCATGCTCAACTCAAAGGAGTTGAGCTTAAAATAGGCAGAAAGCTGCCTCCTGTGTCTACCCCCTCACCCTTCCCCTTCAGCATCAGCACGTTTCCTTGTGATCCCTTTTCACAAAGATGACTGAGAAGGTTTGTTGTCTCTGTCTGATGTTGAAGCACCATGATGCACTTGCTGCCTATGTGCTCTCTTATAAGACTGACAGCTTCTCTGCACAAAACAGCAGAGGCTTCCAGTCTTTCTGGCCTCCACAAGCCCTTTTAAACGTGAGGAAGGCAAAGACCAATTAGATCTTGGGTGGCCTGAAGGAAGTCAGACTCACTACCCTCAGAGCCCAGTGCATTACCCAAAGGAATGACTACAACAGAACAAGAGGCGGGGAAGATTAGTGCACAGTTGGGTGACGAGCACAGCAGTAATACCGAGTATGATTTGCACAATTTTCGATCATTTCATCCTGTGACTTTATTTTGAATTTAGTTAAAAGGTAATCAGACTATTAATGTTTGTTCTGATTTTTAAAATTGTGCAGAATCACAGAATCATATAATTGTCTGGGTTGGAAGGGATCTTTAAGATCATCTGATTCAATCATCAACCTAACTCTGATAAAAAACCATCACTAAACCATGTCTCTAAGCACTATGTCAACCCGTCCTTTAAATCCCTTCAGGGATGGTGCCTCAACCACTGCCCTGGGCAGCCCGTTCCAAGGCTTCATAACCCTTTCCAGGTAAATTTGTTCCTAATATCCAATCTGAACATCCCCTGGCGCAACTTGAGGCTGTTTCCTCTTGTCCTATTCACCTGTGATTTGGGAGCAGAGACCGACCCCCCTGGCTACATCCTCCTTTCAGGGAGTTGGAGAGCGGGAGAAGGTCTCCCCTCAGCCTCCTCTTCTCCAGGCTGAACCCCCCCAGCTCCCTCAGCCTCTCCTCACAAGACTTGTGCTCCAGACCCCTCACCAGCTCCGTTGCCCTTCTCTGGACCCGCTCCAGCACCTCAATGTCTTTCTTGTGGTGTGGGGCCCAAAACTGGACACAGCCCTCAAGGGGGGGCCTCCCCAGTGCCCAGTACAGGGGGACGGTCACCTCCCGAGTCCTACTCACCACGCTGCTCCTGACACGGGCCAGGATGCTGGTCACACTGGTGGCTCGTGTTCAGCCGACCAACACCCCCAGGTCCTTCTCTGCCAGGCAGCTCCAGCCACTCTGCCCCAGCCTGTAGCGCTGCAGGGGGTTGGTGTGACCCAAGGGCAGGACCCGGCACCATATGGCATTACAGTCAGAATTTAAGTACAAAAATCACAGGAAAGCTATACCTCATCAATTAACTTCCAAAGGAGACTCTAAAGCTTTTCAACAATACAGTCAAATCTAGAGTCCTGAGTGAACTCTGTGCCAGCTTTTTCAGTATTGACACACCCTCTGACAAAGTACACCACCACATGTAAGTGTCAATCCTCATTTATAATCTAGCAAAATAATACTGCCTGGCTGGAAGTGCTGGTTTAAGCACCCACCAGGCCTGGCTGGAACCACCGTGTAATCCCACGGCATCACCAATTCCTCCCCGTCTGTGGCCCAAGCAGCACAGGTCTCAGAAGCACCAGGCACACCATTGAGGCTCTCGGACTCTCAGTAAGTGTGAAAATTATCCCCAATAGTCAGAACTCCGACTCACAAGCACAAGGCATATGTGGAAAAACAACATCCAGATTGATCTTCAGTTTATCTCCCCTTGATTTGTCAACGTATAACTCCGGATGAACCTATGAACAAAGCAAAAAAGAGTCCAGTTCCACTTGGAAGTAAATCCAAAGGCCTATTTCCCTCGACTGCTCTGGCTCAACCCACCATTTGGAGGACGGGGGGTTTGCCAGACACCCCAGCTGCTGCCTCCCACACCACCCGCGGCAGCTCAGCACCCGCCCTCGGGGAGACTTGTGAAAAAAGGCCGGGATTCGGGAGTCTTATACCTGGGGGTGGAGGGGGGGTCCCTCGGCACCCGCTCTCTTCGCTGTGCGTTGCCCGCTGGCAGACACCCGGCAGAGACTCTGGGCCGCCTCCGGGCCACCGCGCTCAGAAGGCCACAAGCCCCCTCACACCAGCGGCTCTCGGAGGGCTGCCGGCTCCCCGCGCTGAGGCGACCGGGCGGGGGAAGACGAAGCCCCCAGCAGGTCTGCGGCGGGGGAAGCGGCAGCTGCCCGGGCAGCCCGGAGGAGGCGGCGGGGGTGGCCTGCCGCGCCTCCGCACCGCCGCCGCCATACTCACCTCCTTGGTGAGGTAGTACTGCAGCTCCGAGAAGAAAAGCAGCGCCACGATGAGCCCGCTGACCGCTGTCACTGCCGGGGAGACGAGAGTCGCCGTCAGCCCCGCCGCCCGCCTCGCCTCAGCCCCGCCGCCGCCTCCCACTCCCACCCCC